TCTCGATAATTTTGTACTAGCACTACTTCCACAACTACTCCCACTCTTCGATGATTTATGAGATTTCTTACTCTCTATCTCATCTAAATGTTCAGCTTTCTTTGATTTACGCCACTCTTTTAACTTGGCATCCAACTCTAATTTCCTGTTTTGTTGCTGTCCGTATTCAGCACAAGCCATCCTTTTCTCACTCTCACTGTTCAAAATTCAATATGGCCGTCAAAAACCCGAAATGTTTTATGGGGCGGCTTTCCCACTGAACTCTATATATATACTGATTGGTAGCTACACTTTGTTTTCAGATCTCTTTGGCTTTGGTTAAAAACCAACAATTATACATTCTTAGGGACAAGTCATTATTAATGCCGGGTAGGGGGCTAGAGGAAATTTTTATGAATAGCAAAAATTTTTCATGACCCCTTATTTTTCTAACAAAATAATTTTATCCCCCCCCCTTATCGAGGCAACATATTTCATGCCCCCCCCCACCCCATTTCTGAATTCAATGACTCACAGGTTCATAACCATTTTTCCTGCCCTCCTACTTGTTTACTTGCAGCTGTAAATAATATTGCAAATATTGAAAATGATAGCCAAGGTGGACAAGAGTGACTTTAGTTTACAATAGACACAATAGATAATTCAGACTTTATACCTGAAAAGTTGTTGGTCCTCAAACAAAAAACTCACATATCAGGCCTACTTTTACTATACATTGAAAAAAAATATATTTGTGTCTGGTGGTAGCAACGAGATGGCAGAAGAGACTGTCAACAACATACAGAAACAGAACATGCCATTTAAGAGGTCCACTGTTAAAAAGCGTAAAACAGGACAACAACTGTCAATTGAATCTGCATTTGCAAATGCAGTACATGACCCTTCAGACAAATTCTACTGATGATGAGAATGACAATTTCCAAGTACAGTAGCTAGAACACAACTTTTAGGTTCAATATATTGAGCATTACTGTTCAATGTATGTATGTATACACTATACTGTATATATCTGTTACTCTTTTGATATTACATGTTACAAACTATTCCATAAACTTTATAATTTGACCCCCCCCCTTCCCTTCATGTTCAAAATATTTTCTGCCCCCCCCCTTCACTGGTGAAAATTTTTTTGTAGCCCCTCAAAATTTCCTCCGGCCCCCTACCCGGCATTAATAATGACTGGTCCCTTAAACATTTTAAATACTTCAGCCTACATAATTTCCGTAATGATGGTCAATTATTCCACTTACTGAGACTCACGTAGACTTTTGTGCTCCGTATTTATGTTATACTTTCTCCCTCTTATGTTTTGTGTACACACCTCGGACATTTTATATGATACTCCTTACATGGACGGAGTTCATAGTGGTTATAAGGGCTTATTTACGGCAAAGATTTATGGTAGAAAGTTCCTTCGACGACGAATAAGGTATTACTCGCACAGTTCTGCTTCGTTCAACCCATGTATATTGGTTCTTGAATTAAGTGGCGATATTCATCCACATCCAGGACCAGTATCCAATCCCAGACGTTCGGGTAAAGGTCGGCACACTTTATTGGTCTTAACAATCAAAGCTCGAAGTCTAAACAACAAACTTCGCGACTTTCAGTCAATGGTGTACACGAGCGATTGTGATGTTGTTGTTGTGAGCGAGTCCTGGCTGACTCCCTCGGTGCTAAATAAAGAAATATTACCGAATGGCTATGATATATATCGCTGTGACAGACAAGATGGCAAAAGAGGCGGAGGGGTATTAATTGCAATAAAAAATGAGATTGAATCTAAACGACGCAAAGAGCTAGAATCGAATTGTGAAATTGTGGTGTGTGAAATACATATTTCCAAAGGTATGAAGCTAATTATATGCGGTTTCTATAGACCTCCCTCGAGCAAAAATGAATATTTAATGAATTTTGGTAATTCCCTCGAGAATATTGTGAGAGACGGTACTCCTGTTATATTATGTGGCGATTTTAATTTTCCTGAAATTGATTGGGAACTGCAAGTAGCACCTGGGTGTGACAACTTACCCAATATTTTCTGCGACATGATAAACGATGCTTTTTTGAGTCAGATGAATTATTCTCCGACAAGGGTTTCTGACTCAACAAGCAACATTTTGGATTTAGTTTTTACAAATCTGCCGGATCAGCTTTACGGTCTTTCAACATTCGATTGTCAACTGAATACCGATCATCTTGGAATTTCATTTTTCCTTAAGACAACTGTGAAGCGAACAAAATTTTCACGTTCTGTGTATAATTTTAAAAAGGCTGATTTCGATGGGTTAAGAGAAACTCTTGCGCACGTACACACCATTTGAAATGCTACTCGACTGTGATGATATCGACCAATGTTGGGAAAAATGGAAAGATGTATTTCTTACTACCGCTGAAATGTTTATCCCAAAATGTAAGGTTAGAGATGCAAAGGCACCAAAATGGATAGATGGAGATGTTATCAATCTCTCTAAGTGTAAGAACAGAATGTGGAAAAAAGCTAAAAAATCTAACTTAACAAGTGATTGGGAAAATTACAGAACTATTCGTAAACAGCTAAAAACGTTGACTAAAAAGAAATATCGTGAACATCTCGCAACTATGCAGGATGAGTTAAAGGATAATCCTAGTAAGTTTTGGTCATTTTACAGAGCCACAACAAAAACAGCCAGGATACCAAAAATTGTTCATCTCAGTGGGGAGAAAGCCTCAACGCCTTCTGCTAAAGCGGACATGTTCAACAAATTTTTTGCGTCCGTTTTTCAAAAATCTGACCATGGAACAGAGATAAATCATGATGTGTTTCATCCTCGAGTTGACGAATTGCATAATTTACATGTTACTGTTGAAGATATCTTGTCTGTATTGAAGGCCATTAATCCTTCAAAAGCTAGTGGACCTGATCAAATTCCTGGACGGATTTTAAAAGAATGTGCAAATGAGATTGCCCCTTCACTTACACAAATAATAAATCTTTCCCTTCGAATAGGAATGTTACCAAAGGAATGGAAATGGGCAAATGTTGTGCCAGTTTTCAAAAGGGGTGATGTTGAAAACGTGACAAATTATAGACCTATCTCTTTGCTAAGTGTAGTGGAAAAAGTAGTGGAACGTTGTGTATTTGATAAGTTTTTCCCATTCATAGCCAGTCGTGTATACCATCTTCAACACGGATTTATGAAAGGCCGCTCTACGGTTACCCAACTACTTGAAATTGTTCACCTTTTAACAAAATCAATTGATGAAAAGGGACAAACGGATATTGCATTCCTTGATTTCTCAAAGGCTTTTGACTCTGTGTCTCATTTGTCAATGATGGATAAGCTATACGCGGCGGGCATCAGAGGCTCTTTGCTTAAATGGTTTGGAAGTTACCTACATGACAGGAAGCAGCGAGTAGTACTTGACGGCAAATGTTCCGAATGGCTTGATGTCACCAGTGGGGTTCCACAAGGCTCTATTTTGGGACCAGCTCTTTTTGTTCTGTTCATTAATGACATGCCTGATGTTATTTCAGAATCAGGAACGCTCGCATTGTTTGCTGATGATGCGAAGTGTCTACGTACAATCAATTCAGACGCCGATTGCGTGGCTTTACAAAGGGACTTGAATAATTTAACTACTTGGAGTGCAGAATGGAAATTACCATTTAACATTGACAAGTGTACCATCTCTACAGTAACAACGAAACGCAACCCTGTTTCTTTTATTTATGAAA